AGCTCCTTGCAGCAGGACACAAACCTGCTGCTGCTGCTGCTGCTGCTGGCAGCAGCAGCAGCAGCAGCAGGCGCTTGGAGGACTTCTTTGGGGCCCCTATAATGCAGACGAAGAACGGCACTCAGCCGGGTGCAGCAGCAGCAGCAGTAGCAGCAGCAGGAACAGCAGCAGCAGCAACACCAGGAACAGCAGCAGCAGCAGCAGCAGCAGGAACAGCAGCAGCAGCAGCAGCAGCAGGACGTGCTGTAGTTCCTGCTGCAGTTGTTGCTGCTATTCGTGTTCTTCGTGTGTATGTTATAACAGCTTGCTGCTGCCTAGCTCAGCTGCAGCAGCAGCAGCTGCTGCTGCGCTCCCTTCGCTTTCTCTTTGTTGCTGTGCATGCGCCGCATGCGGCAGCACTGGGCCCCACAGCAGCAACAGCTCCTGGCTATGTTGTTGCTGCTGCAGGCCGCCTGCTCAAGGAGTACCTGCAGCAGCAGCAGCAGCAGAAGCAGCAACAGCAACAGCAGCAGCAGCAGCAGCAGCAGCAGCAGCAGCAGCAAGAAGAAGAAGTGTTGGCGTTTGCATGCGCTGCGCTTCTCCCCGCAGTGCAGCGAATTTCCCATCTCGTTGACCTGCAGCTCAGAAAGCTGCCGCAGCAGCAACAGCAGCAGCAGCAGCAGCTGCTGCTGCTGCTGCTGCAGGAGGCACAGCTGCAGCAGCAGGAACAGCTGCAGCAGCAAGGACAGGAGCAGCAGGAACAGGAGCAGCAGCAGCAGCTACAGCAGCAAACGCAACAGCAGCAGGAGAAGCAGCAGCAAGAAGAGAAACAGGAGCAGCAGCAGCAGCAGCACCAGGAACAGAAGCAGCAGCAGCAGCAGCAGCAACAGCAGCAACTATCAGACGCGGCACGAGTAGAAGCAGAAGCAGCAATACGCAGCGACACGGGATGCTATAGCAGCAGCAACTGCTGCACCAGCAGCAACAGCAGCAGCAGCAGCAGCAACAGCAGCAGCAGCATCAGCAGCAGCAGCGCATTGGCAACAGCTGCAGGACTGGCAAAAGCAGACCCCGAAGTTGCTGCTGCAGCAGAGAACATACCTGCAGCAGCAGCAGCAGCAACAACAACAACAGCAGCAGCAGCAGCAGTAGCAGCCAAGACAACGGCAGTAACGACGTGGGGAGAAGCAGCTGCCTCGCAAGCAGCAGCAGCAGCAGCAGCAGCAGCAGCAACAGCTGTAGCAGCAACTGCATATACAGCTGCTGCAACGGATGGCTTTCAGCTGCTGCCCGTGTGGCGCTGCTGCTGCAGCAGCTGCGCTCAGCTGTGGCCTGTCGGTGGAGCAGCAGCAGCAGCAGCAGCAACAGCAGCAGCAGCAGCAGAAAAAACAGCAGCAGCAGCAGGAAGAACGCGGCAGCAAGTTGTTGACTACTCTGTTGCACTGCTGGCAGAGCTGCGTATGTCTTTTGCTGCAAGCGAAGCAACGAAGCCTGGAGCAGCAGCAGCAGCAGCAGCAGGAGCAGCAGCAACAGCAGCAGCAGCAGAAACAGAGGCGCTGCAGCTTGCTGCTGCTGCTGAGTCGTTTTTGCTGTCGCACATTAAAGAGAAGCAGGCAGCCAAGCAGGAGACAGCAGCAGCAGCAGCAGCAGCAACAGCAGCAGAAGCAGCAGCAGCAACAGCAGCAGCAGCAGCAGCAGCAGCAAAACAAATAAAAAGCAGCAGCAGCGTGTATAACACAGGTCCCCTAGAAGACCCTCTCCCCGTTGCTGCAGCAGCAACAACAGCAGCAGAAACAGCAGCAACAGCAGCAGCAACAGCAGCAGCATCAGCAGCTGCTGCAGCAAACTCTACTCCTACTTCTGCTGCTGCTGCTGCTGCTGCTGCTGCTGCAGTGTATGAAGCGCGGTTTCGTGCTCCTTATCTATGGGCCTTGGTGCTGGGGCAATCCGTGCAGCTGCTGGAGCAGCAGCGGCTGCATGCTGCTGCTGCAGACAGGCTGCTGCTGCTGCTGCAGCTGCACGAGCTATACACCTTTCCTGCTGCTGCTGCTGCTGCTGCAGCAGCAACAGCAGCAACAGCAGCAAAAAAACAAATTACAGATATAAAAGAGAAAAGAGAAGAAGGGGAAGAGGCCCACCAGGAAGCAACCCAGCAGCAGCAGCAGCAGCAACAGCAGCAACAGCAGCAGCAGCAGCAGCAGCAGCAGCGGCATGGTTTATTCCGTCACCGGGTAGGAAAATGGTACAACCGTTTGCAGGTGCTGCTGCTGCAGCATCTGCAGCAGCAGCAGCAAGCAGCAGCAGTAGGAGTGAGGTGTATAAGAGAAGGAGACATAGTAAGAACAGCAGAAAGACAAGAGGTATCGAGGAGACTAATAAAGGCTGCGCTGTACATACACCGCAAACGCATAGCCACGAGCTGGCAGCAGCTGCAGCAGCAAGCCATCGAACAGCAGCAGCAGCAGCAGCAGCAGAAGGTGCTGCAGCAGCAGCAGCAGCAGCAGCAGCAGGAGGTGCTCTGTGATACAGACAGCAGCAACTCCGATGCTGCCAGCAGCACTAAACCAAAACCCCGCAGACGCAGGGCTGCATGCAGCAGCAGCAGCAGCAGCAGCAGCAGCAGCGACAGCAGCAGCACGAGCAGCAGCAGCAGTGACAGCGACAGCGACAGCAGCAGGAACCGGAGCAGCAGCAGCAGCAGCAGCAGCAGCAGCAGCAGCAAGAGCCTGCATGCAACGCGCAGCAGGCGACCCCCTCCTCGTCCTCCGCCCCGCAAGCGTCGTCGAGCTGTCAATACACCTGAGAGCAGCAAGAACAGCAGCAGCAGCAGCAGCAGCAGGACCAGCAGCAGCAAGAGTAGCCCGCGCGGTGCACCGAAACAACAGCAGCAGCAGCAGCAGCAGCAGCAGGAGGAAGAGTATGAATTTTTGCGTGTCTTACCTGTAGACGTGCATGCATGTGTATTGGATGCATACAAAGAGGAGCAGCAGCTGCAGCAGGAGCTGCCTATATGTGTGGTGTCTGCTCGTCCCCTTGCTGCAGCAGCAGCAGCAGGCCGCAGCAGCATCTTCGTTGGCTGGGACGCGCAGCTGCTGCGGGTAGAAGAGCTCGCGCTGCAGCACTATAAACTAGCGGGGGGGTGGCGGGGGCACCACGATGAGGGAGCAGCAATACGCAGCCTCTTTCTTATTCTTACTGCTGCAGCACAGCAGCAGCAGCAGCAGCAGCAGCAGCAGCAGCAAGGGGATTGCCTCCTCATGGGCAGGATTATGCAGACAAACACGCAGCAGCAGCAGCAGCAGCAGCTGCAGCAGCAGCAGGAGGGGGGAGGTGCAGCAGCAGACAGAAGCATTGCTGTTGCTTTTCTTCCAGCAGCAGATCCGACA